GTCCCTAATCACAATATATATTAAAAGTTAATATTGCTGTCACTGCGACCAGTATTCCAAATGATTTATTTACACTTTTTGGCACCTAAGACTGTTTCACAAGGGTGCAAAAGATATTGGATATCTATCCTATATGGTAGAGATGGAGACTGGATAACGAGATCGGTGGATGAGAGAGAGAATGGGAGAATATAAAAAGGGGAGGGGAAGGAGATGAAAAGAGAGAGGGCTGTACTTATTGTATTGTCATGGTTAGGGACGATGGGCATTCAAAACTTCAATTTTGAAAGGCGGGACGATTGAAGTGTTAGGGATTTTTTTCCATCTATTAGAAGTGAATACTGAAATACACTTATTCCAGATTAATTACGCACGATCAAGGGTCCCAACAGACTGTCTTAGTATTACTTTTATCGCTGGGCCCGCCTGACAAGCTCTCATAAAATAAGCATAGTGAAATCCATAAACTTAGCCTGCCTTAACACTCCCATCCCTAGATAGGAATATGCTTGATTCGGAATAGGGCTGCATGGACCAGGAGACACACACACACACACACAACACACACACACAGACAGACAGACAGACACACACACACACACACACACACACACACACATACGCATACACACATACAGACACACACACACATACACACAGACACACACACACACACACACTGTGTTGTAATATATGCCTCAAAACATACAAAGAGTTTTTTTTAAATAAGTTTTAAATCGACATGTTCATATTTGTAAATCAATTAAACAAAATAATTTATTAGAATTTTTCTTTGGAGGCACATTAAAAATCAAGGGTTACCTTAGATTTACACAAAACCTTAATAAATATGAATTAAAGGTAACACAAGGTAACACATCCCCTTATTTAACATTTATAGCCAGTATATAAACATTTAATAAATGTTTTATAAAACACATACAATGCAGTTGCAAGCAGATGTAAGGCCATTTAAGTGTTTATTAATGTACAGTATGTATCAACAATTATAACTTCTCCTATGAAAACATTTTACATTATTACTATTGTTATTTTATATTGCCATTCATCTGTTTATACACCAGAACACACTTGGGTGCTCACAGGAGTTGTAGTTGTAAACAAATACATTAAGAAACACTTAAATCTGCTTACAACTGCATTATAAAGTGTTATAACTTATTTATTAAATGATTATATACTGCTTATGAACTAAACGGGGGTTAAAGCAAATTGTTATCGAATTATATATTTTACTAGGGCTAATTTTCCTACAGAGAATTAACAAAAGCCTCAGGCATATTAAGTGCTTACAGGTCTATAAACTTATTCAGGTTGTCCTGAATAAAAAAAAGCAGAAAATAAAAAAATGCCAACACTATAAAACAAGTCACAAGAAGACAGCCCTACTTATCATTTCTGTTAACAAAGAGAGTTAAACGGGAGGTAGCCTTTTCAGTCTCTCTTCTGGACACTCTCTCTTTCTCACATCACCATGTTTTCAGCTTCATTAAACTCCTTAAAGACAAAAGAAATAAAGAGGCAGAAGAAGTAAAAGGAAAAAAAGAGATGAGAAGAAAACAAACAAAGGACTCCCTAACCAGACTTTGGCATAAATGTCACAGTCGAAACTCTTTATGGCTCCCTACTTAACATTAAAAACACTTTCAACAAAATCCATTTCTTGTTTAGAAAACGTTCTTGGACAGAAGTCAAACATATTATTCCAGAGCTAAAAAGCGGAGAAAGACAAGCGGCTCACAAAAAAGGGGCAGTTTCATTGTAATTCATTGACTTGTTCAAAACGCCAGGCAAAGAAAAGGGCTAGACATTAATAGCCGCAGATGCCCTCATGAAGGGAGAGTCTATGTAGGCATTATGGCCTTTGTTCGCACCCAGTTAAACTGTTTAAAAGGAGGGTTAACTCAATCCATCAAATTGTCTAAAATTGTGAGGAAATTTCAAAAACCATATGGCCTCCAAACGTTTGCGTCCTTTTTGTGCGGTGGGACACACTTGTCTCAGTATTGCTGCCTGCGGGGGAGCGGCCCTGCTCCTTTGTGGCTCGTCCCATCAGGGAACGCTGCTCATTTGTCCCCACTTTTCATGCTTTACGCTCAAAATTACGGCCCAGTCCCGCAGAACAAAAAAGGTCTATAAAGGCCCGAAGAAAACTGGCCCAAAACTTTGTGTTTTTGTGGCATCCTCGTCTTTTTTCCCCCGGCACCAGATTTGTGTTTCTCACATAAATTTTTGCCACGAATGGAGAAACACGTCTAAGGGTCAAGAAGCCACGACACGCATTTAGGATGTGAAAGGAGATGTGAGATTCCGGGCCACAAAATGTTTAGAGCATCCTAGTAGAAAAGAACACAAAGGGACAAAATAGTTCAGTATAATAACTCTAAATAGCCCGCTTTTGATGGGTTTACACGCCCAGGTTTTGGCACCAGAGCGTGTTACTAAAATTATTTTTTGTCTTCATTACAAAAAAAAAAACCCCGGCTATTATATCCATGATAAAAAAAAAGCTTGATATTAATTCAAGAACTGCAACATAAAAGATATATTCAGAAAAGCCATTTTATTCCCATAGTAGCCTATATACATTACAGTCTGTGCATTGGTTTTCAAATAATGTCCTGATTTTAGAAAGGCACTTACAGGTGTACAAAACATAACAAATTTATAACTGTAAATCTATTGTATCCAAACAATAAATCTAAAAACGTAGCATATAGCTCGTCAAAATCACCGCAATATTCACTTTTGTTTCTCGCCATCGCTTCAGCATTCCCTTGAAACGCATAACTGTGAATGTCCGAGTTTGTCTTTCCGATCATCATCATCATCATCATCATCATCATGCACTGCAGCATCGGGACGCCGAATATGAACTCAGGGTCACAGTCAGATGAGGAGGAGGAGGAAGAGGAGGAGGAGGAGAGCAGGCAGTGAACAAAGTGACTCAATTGCGATTAGGCTCGCAGAAAACAATTAAATAAAAAACAAAAACGAATAATAAAGTAAAAATAAATAGATAATGATCACAAATCAAATCATGCATTTACATGCAAAAAATATGAAAAACTGGAGCACTTTCATAGTGGTGTGTGAGGGTAGGCCTTATAGGAAAAGCGATGGAACAGGTGTGTGTGTGTGTGTGTGTGTGTGTGTGCGCGCGCGTGTTGGCCTATAGTGTAAAAAAATAATAAATTACTCACGTCATTTTAGACCATATTGCTTTGATTGCAAGAAGTAACAGTTTGCTAACGAATACATTGTAAAATACCACTGCATATTTCTTGTTCCGTGTTCATGCTTCACTATGAATAGGTCTATCTGTGTCGATATAAAAGTCATACATTTTGGTACATGTTCTGAGATATGGTATACAATATAAGCAGTTAGTTACAAGTCCTCGGTAGGATGTTTTTATCGTCTTTTTGTGTTTCTCGACCTTCCAGCCTCACGCTGCGCCATCAGTCATCCACATCAATCTCCACGTCCTCGTCCTCTGAGCACTCTTTACTAGTTGTGTGGTCTGAGAACGGAGACATCGGCGACGTCCGCAGTTTCTGAGCGAGCTCGTGCTCCTGCTGGCCGCCCCGCGCGGGGGACTCTCCTCGCGGGTGGCCCAGCGTGCCGTTGGCGCATTTCTCCAGGTCCGCCAGCTTGGCGAGCTTGTCCAAGGGGACCTGGCCGACGGCCTTGGCCGACTCAACGTCGGCCTTCATCTCCTCCAGGTCCCGTTTTAGCTTGGCCCTCCGGTTCTGAAACCACGTGATGACCTGCGCGTTCGTCAGGCCCAGCTGCTGCGCGATCTGGTCCCGGTCTGCCGGGGACAGGTACTTCTGGTACAGGAAGCGCTTCTCCAGTTCGTAGATTTGGTGATTGGTGAACGCCGTTCGAGACTTCCGACGCTTCTTCGGGGTGCTTCTCTGGCCGAACAGAGTCATCCCGTCCCGGCCTGTGAGGGAGAGACAGAGGCTGCTGAGTGAAAATCATCGCGATCATACAGGTTCAGGGCTTCCTCTGCACCGCTGCAGCGAGCGCGTAAAAGTGATCCTAACGCAAAAAACACCAATGAGAGTGATACTATATGTGAACCAGTAAAGCCTTCAGGTCGTGTGGGAACAGGTAATTACAAGAATATTACACAGACACCACTGGGAAATATTGAGCAGCAGACACACGAGACCCTTATATTAAAGAAAAGCGGTGGCGATTTATTTCTTCGAGGAGCAGTCTAGCCAATGAACACGCCTTTGTTCGATAGGACATTTTAAGAGGAAAAAATATGCACCCAAAATTGCATTTTTGCTCTGGCTATGAAACAAGCACATTTAAGCAATGTATTGCATGAAAAGGCGCAAAATACAAGGTGCAAGCAAGGTGTCATGTTCTGGTGCAGGCCACTGAATAAGAAAGAAAAAATCTTAGAAAACGTCTAATATTAAACTCTAAACAGGTGTATTTCTACTGTATTTTCGGGGATGGAGATGTACCTTCCGCAGCCTGTAAAACGCTGACTTCCAGCCCTTTGAAGGTCTTGCTGGCCAGCTCCTCTAGCGCGCAGAGCGGGGAGGTTTGGGTGAGGAGAGCCCGGCTGGACAGAGGGATGCTGGATGGACGGTGCTTCTCAGAGGACGAAATTAGATGAGCCGTGCCGCAAATTGTGTAACTTCGTTTCACAGACGGCTTGTTCAGGATGTCCTCGATGCTGAAGGGGGTCAACGGCTTGTTGGAGTTGGCAGGAGGCGGCAAGTGGTCCAGTGGACTTCGCCTCCTGTTTTCCACTGCATCACATTTGGCCACTTCTTTGGATGTCATCATTGGTTGTGCGCCGAGTTTATTCAGGACTTCGTTGAAATATTCAGCGGTTTAAAAAAAAGAGCGAGACTATCGAGGAAAAAAAAAAAGTCACATAACAGTTAGGAGGTAGAAAAAAATAAAGACACGGAGGAGAGAATGAAGAAAAGAAAATCTTATTCCAAAATGGGATGTCTTCAAAGTGTCGATCCTCGGGAGCAGCAAGTCCGCAGGAGTGAGATGCCTCCCTGAAAATGGCGAGGTCCAAAGAGTTGACGATTACTAACAAGTTATCATTGATTGGTAGGTAATCAATTATCTCCAGTGGCACTTTCGCCCTCTTCCCTTTCACTCTTTGACTATGTTGCAGTCCAGTGCGGGGCTTTTTGCGACTGGGGGTGTCCCATTAATTAGGACGCATGGCTGGAAGGAGGAGGAGCCCGGCGGAATTATAATGCTTTGTGCTCTTATCATCTTTGGTCTAATTTAGTCGTGTGGTGAGATACCAGAATAGGTATATGGGGTAAATGAGGGGAAGCCGAGAGAGAGGGCGAAAGAGAAAGAGGTAGATGAGGGGGAAAGAGATCACAATCCGTAGCCTATTTAAACGTCTTTTATGCGTAAAACTTTGGTTTTAGTTCAGCAGGAGTTTTGTAGTCTTTTATTTAAAGGTATTTGGATTATCCGGATCTTGCCAAAATAAGACAAGTCGACTCAGGTGTTATCTTAGGTGTCGCAGATAGTCAGAAGGATATTTTCCTCGACCCAAAGCGTGGATGATCCTTTGTTTTGTAAAGGTAATGTAGAGCTGGGCCATATATCAGCTCTGATGATACCTCCTCTGGGGCGGGAGAGAAGGAGCAGCATGCATCCCTCTCAGCAACGCCAAATCCGGGCCATAACTCAGGCGAAAAGGCTCCTTTTATATCATCAGAGAAATATTTCATCTCCTCTCAAATTTCCCCGCGTCCTCCAGGTTTGACATGATTTATTTTGGTGCTGCTCGGGAAAAACTGGTGACAGGCTATTTGCATCGGAAAACGAATTTACGCAGCAGACAAAATATATTAATTTTATATAAAAAAACATTTGATCAAATATAATTTTTTGAATGCTATCAAAAGAAAGAAAATGGTATTTTTTTCATTTCCTGGCATTAGTTTAATCTTTATATTAACAAAGTTGCAGATAATTTAAGTGCGTAAAAGGGAAATATTAAGCCAATACTACTAGCAATGTGTTATTATTATTATTATTATTATTATTATTATTTACACATCGGTGTCGTTTGTAGTTGATGATGCTATATATATAGTGATAGCTGTTATTTTAGGATATTATTTAACTTACTATTGAATGTCTGTTAGGATACTTTTAGTCAATACTGTAATTATTAGCTTCGCGTCACTGATGGACGCATCAGTGAAAATAAAACATAAACAGAGTGACGATGATGAGGATGATGATGATGATGAGAGAGAGGGGTGGAGAGAGAGAGAGGATAAGGATATAGGATAAATGCATGGTCGTATTTTAGCCTATTATTATTATATTATTAAATAGTCCCTATTAATTTATTAAAACATTAACTTACTATATTTACTCAGTCCAGTCTATTGGTGTCACGCTGTTTAGGCCATAAATTATACACCAGGTTCAGGTTATAGGAGGACTAAAAACAACGAAAGAAGAGATGCAGAGACATTTTATTTATTTAACAGCCCGCAATCAACTTCCCTCCATTACAAAACAACAGAAAGAATGACACCTAATTTTACCTAAACTTTGTGTTATTTTATTTTATTTTTATATGAAAAAGAGAAGAAAGAGATTTTTGGCTGTCAGTTTGCAAAGGTTTCTGAAGTTATGTGTCCAACTTTATTAGGTTATAAAGGGAAAAAAAGAAAAATGAAAGCAGCCAGGCAGTTTATGTTTGCTGCTGGTGGGGGGTCAGATCTAATTTCAGAGGTAAATGTTCTTTGGTGGTTGATCTGAACTTTTGGACACGTTTCTCTCACATTTGCCAGGAGTTTCTATAAGCTTGCCAATTATTTTCACAAAAGACAACAATGTTTGTTTTAAAAATTAAATACATAAGAAGATAGGTAAAAATAATAAATCACACCAAAAAGGAAAATATATATCACATAATATTGCTTTTAAAAAGTTTCATTAATGCACACATTTATGAGGGAAAACTACATTTAGCTGTATAAAAATAACTACAAAATGATTAAAACCCCATTTATTGTATTAAAACACAAGAATTGTTGCCCATCTAGCTGAATACCAACAAACAGGCAATATATTTAATCACATTTACAACACAATGAAGCAGTAGTAAATCTAATAACAAATGAAAGAGCCATAACATTATAATATCATATTATTCTTTAGCAAATACTTTAAGTAACCAAACTGTAATGCATTAAAAGGCACACAGGTTGATCCATTATGGGAGAATAAATCATAATATGTATACATTTTTCACTTTTACATCCAATGTGCCCGTTTCCAGCCAGCTGAGCTGAGCTGGGTCGGGGTGTTCAGTGCCTGTTTATTAAAGACAGATATTTGTAGTGGTGTGTCATCATCTCTGTGTCTCGCTTGCCAAGGTCAGCGACACGGCCTGCCTCTCAGCTCTCCTTTAGCCACAGAACTTAATCTCCTAAGCTACTAGACTGTGCAGGGGACGTTTCCTGGCAGGGGACAGTACAGACCATCACAGTCTAGAAAATGACTCTCACTGATACACTATTCACTCATTCTGGTGCTTTCTGGTGCTGTTTTTTGGTTTGCTTTGGAAGGTGTGGTGGATTTTATTTTTGTTGTAATTTCGATGCACTGGTACTGAACTAATATTTTTAATAAACCCCAAAAAGCTCTCTAGAATGTGTTAGTTTACAATATTTTCACTCTTGTAATCTGCCACTTTAATGCATTTACAAAACAGAAGAGGCCCTTTTCTCTTCCCAACCAGGTGTTGATTTAGGCCTTCCACATTTCGGTCCGTTTGCTTAAAGGGCCATCCTGCAATATGTGTTGTGTGACCTCATGCAGGAGGAGACACAGCGCTCACTGCAGGCTTAGACTGCGAGTAGACAGCTGCAGGGGAAACTATCCACATTGTAGCCATTTTGTGAGACCCCAAAGATGGGTGTCATGTCTCCCCTCTCCCAAAGGCCTGCCTGTTATCTCACATGACATCAGCTATAGATACAGAGGGAGAGATGTCTCGGATGTGTCTCTCAGTATAAAAGGTGTACTGTATAAATCACACGTCATTACCAGAGGTCACTGGCTGAGGTACACCATTGGATGGCTTCATCGCGGGGGCCAGTCTGGTTGGAGGAGAGTGGATTTATCTAGCAGTCGGATCTCTGGAGAGGCAGCCATATTTTATGTGACTAGAGATGTAATAACAGGCCTCTGACAAATCCCTGACGGCCTGGCTTTTCCTGCCTCGCAGTGCAGTGCCAGTGCTGCTGGAACAGCAGATCATAAGCAGCACCATTATCACTGTGATGCACGTGGTCTGCACTGTGCCGCTCAGCTCAATGGTTTTCTCCAGGGTTGGGAGCCCTTTGACTTTCACAAGGGTCTTGTTAAAGGATTAGTTCAACCAAATCACAAAAATGAATCCCTCATTTACCTCTAGTGGATTTCTAGCAATGCAATCGTGATTTTATTTGCTGAAATATTCACCTCTGAGACCTCAGATCCAGATTTTTATTGAGTCAAGACAATAACTACATGTTAGACTGCAAAGAACATGAACAATACAATTATGACAAATCATGGCACCCAGCAGGAATTAAATGCAACAAAAATAGTTTGTCAGCTTTAAAAGAAGATATAACTCATTCTTCTTACAAATTAAATGTTGAACTCACAAACAATAAAACACATTCAATTTAATGCACTCAGAGGTTTTGCTGCTACAGCGTTACACGATCTAGTACAACCAGTAGTATATGTGGCTAATGTTAGCTTTCACTGAGTCAGTTAGCAGACTTTATGACTCTTCTCTAAGTGCTACTGTTACACAAGGTTTAAGCATTTATCATCATCTCATAATTGTTTCGTGCGACCATAGTGGCCACCGTTTAGTTGTTACAGTTGCAGGCTATGAGGCAAAACACAACTTTTGGGTTAAATTAGCTGAAACGTAGATGAAGACTTTAAATCATAATTAAAAAACTTTGTCAAATACACCTCTCTATTATTCTGGAACAACTTTCTACTAAAGAAATAAATATTCTGAGCCCCACAAACAAAAGGTCATTCACCTCCATTGTACTGAGAAAGAATCAACAACTTGAGACAACCTCCAAGGATGGTTCCCTTTATAGGTGTGATAATGTGGAAGACATGTTCAGATCCTTTACTTAAGTAAAAGTAAGAATACCATAATACAAAAATAATGTGTTATCATCAAATGATGCTTAACATAGGGTATTTAAGAGCAAACAAACTCAGTACTGCATTAAAATAGCATTTTAATGTTGCATCCATTTTAAAATATATGTTGTTGGGCAGTTTTTCAATAAAAATATATTATATATAAAATACATATAAATATATAGATTTTATTATATAATTATATGTTTTGTTAAAATCTCTTCAAAGTAACTACAGCTGTCAAATAAATGTAATGGAGTAAGAACTACAATATTTCCCTCGGAAACATAGTGGAGGTATATAAAGCAGGATGAAAATAGAGAAACTCAGTACCTCAACATTACACTTAAGCAGATTCCTTGAGTAAATATACGTTGCTAATTTTTATCACTGAAAAATGTATTATTATTATATCATTTGGGTGAACTCTTCCTCTCATGAACTGAAAAGTTCTGATTGTGAAAAGCAAGGTTGACACACTGCTCAGTGCTTTCAACCCTCTGTACAAACTGCAAAAACAAATAAAAAGAAACATAAAAATTGAGTCAAACACAACAGTCAATAAATTAACAAGTCATGACATTATCCCCATGCAAGGAAAAGCAAAAACAGGTGCACAGTCT